TTTTATCGCATTCGCCACTCATTACTTGCTTTTTGTAATAAACAAAAATGTAATGTTTAAAAGGAAGTTATAAGTTATGGCATAAACTACCAAATGGTTATCAAAAGCACAGTCTGTTTCTCAACTCAAATGTTAAGATTCTCGCCCGCATTGGTCTTCAATTTGAGATCACTTAATAACTTATCATTAAAATAATGGAAAAACTAACTAAAAATGTTAAAATATTTCCAACGAATAAATTATTTTAGTTTGAATATGAGGTCAAATCAAGTTTTAATTAATTTAATGTCACAATTCCGGACGATTCTGGTTTGGGAATCGTTATATTTGTGGAAAACAGACATACTGTACAGTGTTTGTACAGTTTGGCTCTTATTAACATATTTGTCAATTAAATCTTCAATTCTCATGAATTAGTTTTCTCTTTTGAACGTAGAATTAATGTATAATTTATTACTTTTCTCTCTCATTACTTACCGGTAATTGAAATGTAAAATTGATGTGAATTTCTATAAATGTTTTAACACTCCATACGAGTGCACATAAAAATCCTTGACTCTCGACATGGGATTCGTAAACATTTTCTCAGATCACAATAGGGATCGACACTTGAATTAAGGGATGGATATACGGATGAATGCACTGAAACTTTACAGAACTTTCATAATTTGATGATTGATTGAATTCTACATATACTGTAGTATTGGATTCAATTGATTCGCTTTAGTGGCACAAAAAAATACCTGACTTTTAATTAAACTTTTTCCATGGGATAAAATGAGTAGTCTATTGATTATAGTGAATTGGTCATTTACTTATATCGTAGTTATTATAAAATCTTTTAAATGTCATTTTTGGCAATTCTAGTTAAAATGAGTCCATTTATATTATATTGCATTATTTGTATTATTTATTATTTAAAAATTATTTATATAAAAACAAATATTATTTACTAAATTCTCTAATAAAAGCTAAACAAATATAAGTTAAAAGAATTGTTAAGAGTTATTATTATTAAAAATAGCGAACAATTTTAGAAGAATAGATGTATCGCTGTTGAAACATTATAAATGTTAAATATCCCCAATTGTAATCCATTAAAGCCATTAAGATTGGTTGCAATTCATAGTCGGTCTCTTCGGTTGGTCGTCATCGACACCATTGTCGTCGAGCTTTCTTTTTCTCGATTTCTTTGCCTAATAATCAAAAATATAATGAGTTGTCTAATAAGATAATACATTAATATTCACAAAAACTGACCGTCAGTCCAATGACGTCCACTCGTGTGCGAAGCAATTGACCCGGAGATGACTCGATGTGCACCAATCGTTGTACGCCTGACTCGGAGTCACCCGTGCTTTGCGATGAAATTTGAACGCATTTGTCGGCTCTGTTCGGGTCGTCCGCCGGTAGACTCTCAACGGTCGTCATAATCAAATCGCACGCCTCTGTCTCCACATCGGGATCAGTTTGGGTGCCTTTTTGTGGTGGCTTTAATATCAACAGCAGAGTGTAGTGCGGATACAGCTTCATAGCTAATAATACAGTTCCAGTTGACACACTTGGCATTTGTCTAATGATTTAAAGCACTTTTTAATTAATTTAAGTACACTTTTAGATCAATTTCTTTGATAATAGAGAGACTGTTGTGAGTGAATAGACGAGAGGGAGTAAACGAAATGCTAGAAATCAAATGACTTCACTTCAAATGACTTGACTTCCAATGACTGACCCATAATTTATGGGCCTTAAGATATTCAACATACCTGTACCTTCACATCACGGTATTAGCAGTTAAACGCAATTCTTAAAATAAGGGTATTATTGGAATTTTGTTATAAACTTAAGGTAATATTCATAATTTAACTAATTTTAAACATACTGTACGTTTTTAAATGTTTACAATGTAAACTTTACATTATGCATTTACATATTCTCAAATATTACTATGGTAATTTTCATATTTAAAAATTTTTAAATATTCCTAATTCTATGCAATTCTTTCAATTATGAATTACAATATCAATCAATTAGACATTGTTATAATTACAGTGGAGATTAAGGGACTGCACAAAAGTAAACTCAAATAACTCGAAAAGTGTTTATTATGGAAATTGAGATATATCAAAATACTCGTCAACTGCGGGAGTATTTGTCATATATGCCTGACCTATTATTATAGAAATAATCTCACCAATCAAAATGTTGCGATTGTTACATGTAAATTGATTATGATAAATGTATCGTATTATCAGTTTTCAT